TTCATTCAGGAAACCGTGCTGGATCCGTTAGTGCGAGGAACAACACACCTTTTTCTTGTTCGACCGATAACTTCTTTGACACAGCGGCACAATACACGTCCTTTATTTGCATTGCCGCTTAGCTTTTAACATCTCTGGGTATTGCAATGTACACGTGGCGCCGTCGAACTTCACAGTAAGTCAGATGGCAGCTGTCACACACTGATTTTAAACGTGGCGAGGCCCAGGCAGAAACAGGACGAGAGGAATTTCGCGCGTTCGTGCACCCTCTCAACACGCAGCGCCGCTTGTGGCAACTGAGTGCAGTCATATGCGCGGCGATCCACTCTCGTGCGGAATGTGCGTGCTCAGCACTCTAGGCAGTATATTTCTAGACACTGCTCACGGAGGAAAGAAAGAACTTTTCTTTCCTCCGTGTGTGGCATAGAGTTTCATAATACGCAAACTCTATGGTGTGTACAATGCCTCCTAGATTTCTTGTGCCTGCCGAATGAGCGCGAAACGCCGGTCATCTATGTTGGCACCAACGTTTCTAGAACTAGAAACGTTGGCTGGCGCTGCCTACGTAGGGGAAAACTCTATGGGGGTAAAGGTCTTTGTACTCGGCCTTTGAGATCGGCAATTTTGGCGTTTGTTACTAACTTTAGAGGATACCTTCTATTAAAAAAGTTGTTTGTTGAATTACGGCGTCACTTACGTAGGGTTAATTATAACTACGTTTACGCCTTTTCAAAACTTTTTACGTTATTTTTGTTGCATATAAGCTCCAAAACGTAAAAACCTAGTTGAAGACACCCCCCCACTTGAGTGGCGCCACCACCATAGTTCCAACGACCGCCGCTTCCCAAGTGACCATCGATAATCTGGCAGGCACTGGAAATCTATGAGGCGTTGTTGTGTGCCACGACCAACTGTACTCCTGACCTGCCCAGCTGGCAGCGGTCTACGGAGCTGCCTGCGCCGGCTCGGATGCCGAACTTTACCACCTAGAGGGCGCTCGAGTTACCCCAGCTGAGCGCTGGGTGATGCATGGAAATGCATGGGTTACCGACGGTTCGAGAAGAATTTCATCACGCATTTAGTAAATATGGCGGGTATCTTGAATCTTTTTTTCATGTGACTTTGAGAATCTTCTTTTGCATTTTAGTTGACATTTAAGTGCATTATTTAGACAGGTTGTAAAAAGTGCTGGCCCACCAAATGTTTATTTAACTCATGATACCGGCTGTACGTGTATACATTGGTAGAATTGTCGCACACTCAGCTGAATTGAATTTACTGTCTGGACAAGAAAGGGCAAGGAATATGGCATTTGACAGTGGCCGCGGCATCCAGCGCGCATAACAAACAACCCAATACATACAATTTTGCGCATGAATACCTTCGTATCAAATGGAAAATGTAGATCGCAGGTACATGAATAATCAATGAAAAACACTCTGCAACTGTTTTGAAACGAAATAGCACCAACAGCAAACAACTTTACCTGCAAGACTGCAGCGTTTGCTCTTTTGGAAAGAAGATTAACCTCTGCAACTTCATGGTTCAGCTTGGCTATTTGCGCTTTTAATTCAGCATTATTCCTTGCCATGGTTTGGCGTTTCCGGTGCGATGATTTTGCGGAAGTCATCACACGGCGCATCTTCTGGCTGGTTATAGTTGTTCGCGTGGTTAAGGAGCGCCGTTCTTTTTTTTTTTTTTTTTGCTTTGTCGCCAGGTGCAGTTTCAGGTGGTTCTGTGCGTTCAAATTCGGTAAAGGGTGCATAAAGTTTGCGGATGGTCCCGCAGTTGTGTTTGCGGATGGTACTGATGACATGCCGCTCGATGTTAAGCTCTGCTGCGCCGGTTCTGAATCTGTTTTCTTCCTGCATTAAAAAATTGCGTTCTGTTATACGCCTTTCCTTCAAATTCGTTTTAATTGGTCTAATTTGTATGCAAGAGCCGTGGGGAGACGTCAAGCATTAAACATTGTTAGTCACTTTTTTTCTTTGGGCAAGGTCCATGTTCCTGAACATTTGAACGTTTCAAGGTGCGGCGGACTTTTGCCACGGGCGGCACCATGTACTTTGGGTAGTGTGGAAACACTGACGGCACAGCATCCGCTTTCAGTCTTTTTATCTTTAGTCCCGGCTTATAGTCGGTTGGAGCAAAGTGCACACTGCACATCTTCGACCTGTCATTTGGGAGCCAAACTTCATTACCAGCACCTTGAAAGGAAGAAGATGAACATTCAGTGAAGTATTGTAAATAAAATACAAATTTTTTTGTTCTTTTCTAAGGAGTATATCATGCAATTAGAAGTTTATACCATGGTGGCGAAGTTAATAAAACACAGTTATGAAGTGAGCGTATTAATTCACCTCGTTAACCATGTGACACACGAAACTGGCTGAGATACATTAGCACTAAATAAAATGGATGACCACAAGAAAGAAGACAAGGACACACGCTACTCACAACTTTTCATTAGGAGAAAAGTTTTCACGTATATGTCCTTTTGTCCTGCATGCGCGTAGACGGGTAAACCAACACGTTTATATCAGACGTGGTAACACATAAATTCAAGTTCGTGGTCGAACTAATTAAGCAACAGGGGATAAATATTCACTTATGCAACAATCTCTGCTCTTTTCGGTAATGTAATTAAACTACCAAAGCAATCTGGAAGAAGCTTCTTTCCACAATGGGCGTGATTGAAAACCTAGTTGCATAACCACATGTAGTGACATGGCTTCCACATGGGCACTCTTGTCATCTTTTCTTTTTTTTTGTTAATAACAAGTTGTGAGTATAGCACGTCGTCATTTACTTTCTTGAGGTAGTTGGTTTATTTATTTTTTGCGCTAATATGCGTCTCAGTCTGTCATGCACCACCAACCAGCCCAGCAACTCACTCTTTTAAAGACACGTAGTCATTTACAACACGTTATATTTTCAGCATGCCAGACAACGTCTAATTGAGCAGACTTACCCTTTCTAGAAATCACCTTGATCCATTTTTCACCAACCTCGGTCACTGGAAACTCATGAAAAGTGACATCAGAAGTCTTCCCTTGCCTTGATTCGCAGAAAGGCACGCAGCACACCACCATCGTGATGGTTCATTTTCACCAAGAAACTTCGCTTCACTGGTGTACAAACCACACCTACCTGCACACTTCTGTCGCAGCTCGGCACGAGGAGACGGTGGCAAAATATTGTCATTATACTTTTAAGTTTATTCAAAAAGAGGCTTTTATTTATTTTTTTTTCATTCGTCCAGAGTGTATGCACGCGCAAACATTGCTGCTTTTTCTCCCAGTGTCGCGTTAGCAAACTACAAAGAAAAAAAAAAAAGCGCGGTGGCCTATGTTTTGGCCGTCAGCAACCGGTGCGGATGGGGTAAGTTGTAGCGCCACAGAGCGCTTAGCGGCAGGCGCCAGTACCAGAAGCCCGCTGGGCAGGTCAGTACAATACAGTAGGTCGTGGTGTGTGGTACGGTTGTCACGTGATTGAGCGGTTTGTAGGCGAGCGGTGTCACGCGGCGGCTGGTCGCAACACAAAGCAGAAGGCATGGCCTTCGAGATTACGTGCTGGATGGAGGCTCCCAATCGGAAAAAGAGCGACGTCACAGAACAGCTTTTCTAGGAGGCGTTGACGAAGTGCGTGCAAAGAGCATGGCGGGTTTAGAGCTTTTGTCTGATGAAGGCTATCGATTAGACGGCCGAAAGCCTTTTGAGCAGAGAAAGATAGCATGCAGGTTAGGTGTGTTTACTCAAGCTGACGGATCAGCCTACATCGAGCAAGGTAATGCCAAAGTACTTGCCGCAGTTTACGGGCCCCACGAACCGCGAGGCAGTCGTTCCCGCTCTTTCCACGACCGTGTGTTAGTCAACTGTCAGTTCAGCATGGCCACATTCAGTACTTTGGAGCGAAAGCGTCGTCCCCGAGGTGATAAGAAGTCGCAGGAAATGACCCTACACATCCAGCAAGCCTTTGAAGCTTCAATTCTGACCCAACTGTACCCTCGTTCGCAAATAGACATCTTCGTGGAAGTGCTGCAGTCGGACGGAGGCACGTTGAGTGTTTGCATCAATGCCGCTACTCTAGCGCTAATCGATGCTGGTATCGCACTGAAAGACTACGTGTGTGCTTGCTCCGTGGGTTTTGTTGACGGTTTCCCCCTTGTTGACATAAGCCATCTAGAAGAGTCCTTGCGTGGTCCTGAGCTTACAGTGGCTGTGCTTCCCAAGTCGCAGCAGATGGTTCTGCTCGAAATGACTTCTCGTGTTCACGTGGATAACTTGCAGAAAATGCTGGACGCGGCTGTGAAAGGTTGCATCGACGTGCACGCAATACTTGACAGTCAAGTCAAGGAACACACAGCTCTAGTCGGTTCGTGCATTGGCTGGGAATAAAGTTGCGTGTTGGTAACCCTCCGGTAACACCAGTGATGCCTATTTTCTTTCTCTTTAGTTTTCTTGTATATATCGGATCACACCTAATGAGAGACGTGCCACAATTTGTTGCGCGCGGTAACGCACGATCGCCATTGCCTTGACCTACATGAAAACAAACGCTTACTGGGACCATGACCTCTTTAGTGCGCTTTAGCGCAGCCTCACATGACCGAACTCTGCTCAAGGTCCTCTCATGGTCCTCCGCAGTCAGCAGTCCACATAACGATCGCCAGCGAGCGACGCTTTTTTGTCGCGCGCTCTTCGTGCACGGCGCTCACGTGGGGCGCGCTAGGCAACCAGGTAACATCGTCAAATGATATCGGGTCAGGGGCCGTATGTTGTATCGACCCATTTAATTTTGCGTTGTTTGCAATGTAAGTCAATTTCTGTAACGGAGGATCTTAGACAGGTAAAACGCAAGGTCATAAAGTTTCATACAATAAAATACTATTATTGTATGAAACTTAATGCACATGGTAGACTAAAAGTGACCGCAGGAGTCCAAGTCATGGCATCTTAAGTGAATGACAAAGCTCAACTTGACAGACTAGTAACCGCGGGTTTAACGTCAAAAGTTATTTAGGATCATCGCACCGATGCTGAGCGTTGAGCAGTGATGCATTTTCTTGTGAAGCCGTGATGCGTGGCGAAACGAAGTTGAAAGAACAAATTTATCAAGCTGCTTTACAAAAAGCCCATACTATAACAGGGTCATTCAACGCATGTCGGTAACAGTAAACAGCAGCTTTTGTATTCTCTTCCTTCACTTCTATCACCACTTATATCAGTGTTGGTGTTACTTGTGTAACAAAGCGGTTGTGGGCCAGGTGTACGTACTTGCAACAGTTGCGGCGTGTTTTGGTTGCGTAGTTTTCCATACGGTTGAAATCAGAAGTGCATTGGTTCTGTGCTCGATGTGAGCGGCTTGTGTACCTACGACGCTGCGTGCGTGCAGTTAGGGCTTGCACGCACTGCGATGCAGTCGTGCTTGCAGTTTAGGTAAGGAATTGCCTCTGTTTCTGGCCGTGCAGTTTCTTTTAAATTTGAACCTAATGAATACACTGATACGCATTTGACTGATATAATTGCATGTAAAAGTAACTGTTTAAGTCATTACCAGCGCTGCGAGTCGTACTTGAACGCCCTTTAAATGTTCAGAACTTCGGCGGGTTAACGATTTTGATAAACTTAAAACCTATCCGTGGTTAGCGTTACAATGAACTAGTGATAGTCTCGTTTTAGTACAGTTTCGATAGCCTGAAAGAATAACTGATTCTTCCTATTTTCCTTCCTTCACGATTTCAAATTTTTTAGCTAAATTCAGTGTATCGGAGAAATCGCGGGAATTTGTTTGACCTTTCACTTTGGTGCGCTGCCTTTTTTTCTTTTCATTTTGAATGTAGGCGAAATGCTGCGCTGAATGGCGATGGAACTATCTCTGACAACGCAGTCAAGTTACCAGTCAGCCTTCTTCTTCCCTTTGTGTTATGCAACACCAGAGGCGAAGTCTGATAGCGAGACATCATCATTCTGTGAAAACCACGCTGCAACATTACGAACGAGCTTGAGTGCCTTTGACTGCAGCGATCGGGCTGCTTGTGCTCGAAGTTTATGCTCTGATACAGCAGCATCGTGGCCGTCAACACCATCTACAAAGAAGTCGCATAAGCATAAACTTGGAAATGAACATTCAAACCTAGTGTTAAAGAAGTTCTTACAGTCGTTGCAACGGGATTCAATGGAACCGACTGACGGCTACTCGCAAAGCACATCGTACTCAGCGCCGCCAGCCTTGATGTCGGCATCACCCAGGACGTCGATTGCAAGTTCGTTTAGCAGTGAGAGCATACCGGTTGTGACTACTTCGCAAGGAAGTATTGAACATGGAAGTAGCAGCTGCACAATGTCTGGAAAAGTTGATGGAGAAGCACAGTCATGTACAGAAAAAGTGCTGCAGCAGGGGTGCGCAGCTTCTTCCAGCACCTTTTGTCCTGGTAGATGCTTGTCAGCATCTGATGCAGTGGTTTCTTCAAAATATTATACTGGAAAAGGCAATTTGACGAATAATCAAGAATTGGCCCTTTCTCTCGAGTCAGTGCTGACAGTAGTACTACAGTCACTTAGGCTGCGTTCCACTACTGCAAATGCTAAAAGCTTGGAGAGGAAACAAATGATCAAAGAACCCTGCGTCAAGACTTCTAGACCAAAGTACTCTACTTCACGTGGAGGTGCCAGCTTACAGTCATGGGACTCTCATCTGGAAATTGATGCATCTATTGAAGACATAGTGGAAAGCGTGATTCATGAACTGTCTATCTGTGAAACAGAGTTGCAAAGCTGTTCGGAAATGTTGTCCCAGGATCACTCTACTATCAGTGATGCACCACGAAGAGCATCTCCAGCCTCTCTTTCAAGTTACACTTCAAGCAAGCGTTTAGAATGGGACAATGGGGCAGACATTGGATATTCTGGCACTAGTGGTAGAACACATGAACAAGAAAGGTCAAGGTATAGCAATATAGCGAGGCACATTTCTGAGCCAAGTGAAAGTGATGTGGTCAATGAAGCGAGTGTTTCCCCCTGATGAAAAAACACACAAATTTGCTGTGCCACATTCTCGCGATGCTATTGTGCAGACTGAAGCTTCTTCAATCAAAGATGCTGGAGTCCAAGCGAATGCTTCTGCAAAAGATCTTTTGTCTACGCAGACTCATGTGAAAGCATCAACAAAGCAGTCTGAAATGATAGTATCAGGCAGTGCTGTGACAGATTTGAGTAGTATTGCATCTACCAAGCAAGGATCTTCCATAATTTCACTTGCTAACAATGTGCACCAACAAACTGGCATAGAGAAAAGAGGATTTTCGGTGACCGATCGAGCACCGAACTTTGCTTGTGTCAATATGAAGCCTGCTTTTCAGCAACCTGCAAGCAAAAAGAGCCTTGAAATGAAAAAATGTGATAGGGCAAATAGTGTTTCACTCTATAGCCACAAGACCTTCAAAGAGCACAGGAATCTTAGAAGAAAGCACGCAGGCTCAACACGAAAATGTGCGTCAGACTTTAGCCATGGTCAGAGAAGACATTGCGGCAATAACTGGTTTGCTGCCTCTGATACTTCTCATATACAATCTGAACCTTTGGATGCCACTGGTTTTACAGTTATAGACAACAACCGAATGAAAATGAAATTGCCTAAAACTGTACCTGGACTGGCTTCTCGAAGTGCAACACCTGCCGAGCTTCCTCATGCTTGCTCTGAACTTGACAAGCGGCAGCTTGATTATTGGCTTAGCTCTAGTTTCCCTTATATGCCTGCAGTGATGCCCCTTGAAGAAGCCATTCTACCTCGAATTCGCAGTGCTGAACCAGCCACAGAAAAACAAGAAAATTGTGATCCAAGGCTTGTAGTATCAGGGTCGTGCCTCCCCTCTATAACTCAAATGCAAGAAGCCATAGACATGGAAAATACTCGTACTACTGCAACAGCACAAGGTGCTGGTGGAATGACACGAAAACGTTACATTGTTCGTCCAGTGTCGCGGTCAGTGCTGAAAACATCTGAAGCAGGCACATTGCTCTCAAAGCGGACTGCAGGACTGTGCCAAAAACTCATTATGAAAGACGAATTTAGGTGAGTGCGTTGTGGTCCTTCATTCATATGCTGCATTCAGTAACTAGTGCAAAGTTGTTTTGCTTATGCACTTAAGCAAACATATTTTGGTTTGGCATTTTAACGAACAACCTACTTTAACATTAGCATGAAATTTGATCTGGAAAAAATGGACACATGCCCAATTGCTTCAAAGATGTGTGGCTGGAAGCTAAGTGAATTCTGCTCCCCAAAAAATTTTGAGTTTTGAGTGCCAACAAAAAGATACGAGATTTGAGTGCCGGTGCCCATCCTCTGAATAAGCAGCGGCAAGCAATAAAATCACTGTGGTATTAAAGACGGCAGCTTATGTGAAAATAAAAATAAATGTTCCTTGGAGTTCACCTGCTTCATCAAGTCATTAATGGGGGTTAGTGGTACAAAGGGGAAAAAAAAATTGACAGACAACCTGTTTGTAGCACGACACCACAAGCAAATCTGTACGGATTCCTCAAAAACAAAAGCTTACTTACCCAAAAATTCGTCCTGCTTCGGGGTTCGAACCTGGGACTAATGCCTTTCTGGGGCAGTCGCTCTACCAATCGAGCTAACCAGGAAGCTAGCAAGTGGCAGCATGAGGAGGAGTTCATTGACAACTCAAAGCACATAGACACAAGTAATGCAAATGAGTTCTGTAGAATCCCCGTAAGGTGGTGGAAGGGTTAAAAAAGGGGAAAATAGACAACCACCCATTGGTGCAAAGGCAGTTCATCTTCTTGTTTGCATTTAATTCTTGTTCATTTTTCAGTGCTCTAAATAAACATTTCCCATTGCAGCTAATTGATATGCTGCATCAAATGAAATAAATTTGATTAGAGCTAGTTTTATTGCCTATGAGTTGACATTTCTTTAAGTAAAGCTTTTTTTTTCAAACCCTCCTATACTTTCCTAACCATGCTGCTGCTGAGGCTTAACTAGGGGGGTTCAACCACTACCCTCTGTTCCCCCTTGATATTTGTGTGCATGCATTAATTTGCATTCATTATGTTTACAACAAATAACATCCCCTATACTTGCTTTCTTGTCTGTCCCAAAAGTTTTGCTCAACAAATGCTAATATATACCAATATAATAAAAATAGTATTCTATTTTGTATTACATACACTGTAAGGATCTTTTTATGAGTGGCTATCTACTGTAGCGAAAGAATTATATTGAAGAGTTATGTCACCAGGCTGGACCTAAAATGTCCCACTAGTGTCACAAGTGAAGTCTCACAATTACATTAATTTCTCAATTATAAATAAAGGTGTCAATAATATTGATGTTTTAGATATTCTAAAGCATTCATCTGTCACTGCAAAGTAATAAGTTGTTTGCCTTTAATGTCTATGCTAAGACTTAAAAAAGGTCTGTGGAGGTACAGTTATAAGGCCCATGTAATGTCATTTATCAGTTCTCTTTTATCACTGGTACACTTTACTACAAACTAATTGCATAATTACAAAAAAAAAACATCTTGGCTAGTTTAAGCTGGCACTCGGCATATATTTATTATGCGAACTATGTCTTTGATGAGTGCCATGTGTGTCATGTTGTGTGGCATGGGCACATGAAGGTAGATATATGCATGCCTGTTTTCTTTGGGACATGGATGCATGCATGAATGAAATGATTTGAGTATAAGCGATTCTTACCACTGTCATTGCTATTGGCCTCACAACATCAATGAAAAAATGCTACCACGTATTTCGAGAAACACAAAGCACAAAGGAAAAACAGGGGCACTAGTGAGGGTTACAGTAAAAATGGAATTTATTTGGGAAAGAGCAGCTGGTAAGTAGGTGAAGTGCAACCTAACAGAAAATGCAAAAAGAAAAAAAACACCTAAACAGCAATACATCCACACACGCCGCAATCAAGGGGAAAAAAAAAGGAGAAGAAAGATATACATTGGTATCGTCTTCTATAGGTGCTGGAAAGATAGCTAAATTCTGCACTGCTCAGCGAAATGCATGCTGACACACTTATCGTTTTTCCTTCAGATGTGGAAGGCTTCCATCACTTGTCTTGCGAACAGATTTTTATCATGCGGCAGTATCGTTGTGTGGAGGGTTCGCAGCCGCTTTCGTGACAATGAGCGGTGAGCGAGTACGGTTTTGACTCTGATAACGAGCGTTCGTGTTTCTTAAGTGTGAATACCAACATGCCTTTGGGAACACGAACGCTCATTATCAAAATGCTCATTATCGCTGTTCATTGTCACAAATGCAACTATGTACCCTTATTCAACGACACAATGATACTGTAACATCATAAAAATCGGCAAGAGAAGTGATTGAAGCCTTCCACATCCAAAGGAAGAAGTATAAGTGTTAGCATGCGATCAATTTCGCTGAGCACCAGAGAATTTAGATATCTTTCCAGCACCTGCAGAATATGATACCAATGTATCTGTTTTTTCCCTTTTTCCCTCTTGATTGCAGTGTGTTTAGATGTATTGCTGTTTTGCATTTTCTGTCAAGTTGCACTTCACCTATATATCATCTGTTCTTTCCCCAAGTCAAATTTTAGTTGCGAGTCACCGCCTGTCTGTGTTCTTTTACTTTGTCGTCATCTCGTGTGCGCTGTCCAACAAAGATGAACCCATGCCAAGTCGCTCAAGCTTCAATTCTAATGTAAAAATAGAAGTTACATGACACATTTTTCATGAAAACTCGCTGCATTGGTCCCGGTGTCTCCCTGAATCACTTTTACCATGGAGACGTGCTCGCGACACCCTGTGTGGTACTTTGTGCCCGTGGCGTGAATAAGCCCATTTGCTTTTCCGCCGCGCTTTTGTAACGGGCTGTACTACGTTTTGGTGTTGCCACAAACAATGAAGTGTTGCGACCTTGAGCAGTATCGTGTTCTCGCCATGGCGACGGTTAACGCATGCCCTGCAGCTCACTAAGACCGGACCTACGCTAGTGGCCGCACTCCTTCGGTATGCGTGTCACTACAAGGTCAAATGAAAGCGAAGCGTGTTCTTCAGCAGAGATAGTGGCAGCTTGCGAAAATCAAAAGGAGCGTTGTCAGCAGAACTCTTTCGCTTTGTGTAACAGTTTATCTAAAGGAACTTCATCACAGCAGCTGACAGTGAATGGTAAGGATTGCAAGCTGAAACGGATGGCTCACAGAAAGCTAGAAAAACTCAGGTTTCTCGTTAATTGACAAAGACATGGCTACTTGAAGCAGTTGCAAAGAGAAGTAGAACGGCTGCATAAACTTGAGCAGCTCGTCCTCTTAGCAGATGTCAGTCGCACAGCATTTTCTGCAGAAACGGAAACCACGTCACCAGAAAAGGACTTGGATGTTACAGTGTGCAGAAACGGAGACAGCAACAACGTTGCAGTGCAGACTTCTCAGTCACTTTTTGCCAGCTGTGATGACGAGGACACTGTGGTCAAGAGAAATGCTTTGTGTCAGTGGCTGACCAGTCGGTGAAGAAGCACAGAGACCACCCTTCACAGCAGAGGAGGAAAGCTGTCTCCAGGCGTCCTGTAGCATGGATGGTACCTGTGAGGTGGAACACCCCACACAGTGATAGTGAACAAGGAGCATCCCTGAAAGAGAGAAATCACCAGGGCACCAAGCAAGAAGAGAGTGTGCAGGTAATTGACACCATTCACGGGGTTTTAATTAATCATGAGAGTTCATATTTCGTTGCATTTGATGTTAGATTCAGTATTGATGAACCATTAGTCGTCACTGTTTTGCTAGCAGTAGACAAAAGCAGATCGGATGATGCACAAAGCTTTTTCTTTCTAGCCATTTCATTATGGAAAGTTATGACTGCAATGCAGTTATGACCAGCACTGAAAAGAACTGCGCTGAAATAATGGGAGCAGGCAACTTGAAGCAGGTCTTACCCATTTCACCTGCTTTATGTTGGGTTTCCCTTGTCTATTAGTGACAAAAATATACCGTACGACATAGACTGGTTTGATGCTTTTATTGAACCATCAGTCTTTACAGGCAGCAAGCATGTGGTGCATCTATAACCCGTTGCACTGTTCTGCAGAGGAAGTAGGCAAGTTGCATCTCGTAGTCAAGCTCAAATAATCCTTGATGTTCTTGTTGTACTTTTGGGCAGCTGAAAAGAAAGATTATTTAATTAGTACCTAAATAATGTCTTGTTCATTGCAAAACACTGATGCTTGATGGTTGCGAAATTGAGTAGCTAGTTTCATACATGTCACCCCAAACATACCTATCAGTTATCTGAACTTCTGCTGTGCATTTCAGGTAGCGCAAACAATTTCTTTATGCTTGTTATAAAGGAATGTAATTGTCTATAAGAGTATTACAAAAAACATATTTCATAAGACCTTTACATAGGCTCACAGATTTCTCAAATTCAAGCTTGCGAAACGACCAGCAGGTTGTGCCTAATTGCGAGTACTACTGTTGTTACTGTTCGATTGCTTTCCAAACACTGCTGAGCTGCTAGTGCAAAGAAAAAACATACTAGAGAAATTTATACTGAATTGCCAGGGGAAAGTTTCAATGCAGATTCTCTGGCTGGATAATTTGATACAATCGCATAATGTTAGTTGTTATCGAAAACACAATGCCAGCGAAGACAGGAGCAAATAGATGTGCCTTTTCAACTGAACTTTACCAAAAAAATCAGCACCTGCACATGCAAAAGAACAAAACTAATAGACACACTTTGCAAATTAAAATTTTGCAGCGAAAAAAAAAAAGAGCTGGCTTTGCCAGCTCTTTTGCACTTAAATGCACATATTATATGGTGAGAAATGGTAAAAATAAATAGAATACACATATACTATTGACAGACCTAAACACAATATGGGAGTTTAGTGTAAGTGCAGTTCTACACCAAGAAGAAAAGAGAGAAGAAAGATCATAGTAAAATATTACAGCGAGGAAAAAAAAAGCGGGAGGAGAGTGGGGGAGCAGGCAAAGCAAACTGTTTTGCACCCAAATGACCATATTGTAAGTGATAAATGGTGAAAATGAAAAGAATGTACATATACTATTCACAGACCCACACACCATGTTGGTAGGTTAGTGTAATTGCAGTTTTACACCAGATAGAAAAAAGAGAGATGGAACAAAGATTACAAAAAATGCAGTTGGCATAGCACTACAGTAGACTCTCAGTACACGAAAATCTGTTAAACGGTGTTACTGCTACTATTGCCTCTGCAATGCTTGGTTTCCGGCTTGTATTCTGCACCCATGTTCACCTCTCAGTAAACGGAACTCCTGTTAAATGGAACATATTTTCCCGGTCCCTTCAGGTTCCATTTCCTAAGAGTCTCCTGTATTGCTAAACATTGGTGTCACATTGCAATCAATAGGTGAGTGATTCTTAGCCGAGTTTACAGTTAGAACCACTGTTCTTGGTGAAGATGCAATCGTGTGTGAACACAAGACGGGTGCCGGTTCATGCCGGAATATGTTTGCCTCGAGATGTATGCATTCACATTAATGTTTTCTAAAATTGCTGCTAGGGCAAGTTGATTCACGATTGAGATAGATTTACCAGAGCAAAAAAACGGAAAACACAAGGAATACACAGACACAGCGCTGTGTGTGCATTCCTTCTTATATGTTTCGTCTTTTTGCCCTGGTAAATCTATCTTAATGTTTTCTCTCTGTGTGTGCGTCTATGTGCGTGTGCTTTGCCCGTGCTTCTGCTCCTTGGCTGGGGCTTTTTATTGTGTTCATGTGTGACAGCCAGCCTGTTCCATGCGGGGTATCGCCACAAGATTTGTGTGCTACTCAGCAACACAAATGCCAGAAAAGACATGACGGTGAGATATCACGAGTTCCTAGGACTGCGACCTACAGCATTGATAGCTTTGCGAAATCAAGTTTCTGTGCGTTTTTTTTAACCAACTGGGTTGGAAATTTAAACTCAACAGTGGAGCACCTTCTGAGGTGGTCCCATAAAGCTCTCTCAAAGGTTCTCTATTTGTAAACAAGAAATTACTTATTTTTCATGACACTGCAGTATAAATGGAAGCTGCTGCTGTTCAATTCAATGGGTGTGAACTTCATTTTGCTGCTGTAGTGCTGATAGTTTCCACAACCTCATAAGTACACGTTATTTGTTTCAATTCACGACTTAAGGGGGCAAACTAGTCTTTGGCACCGAAAAGTGACAAAAAATGCACTTTTTAGAAATTGGCATATTTGGTTTCTGCAAGTATTTTTCTATCTCTATGCAACTTTTTACCCACCAGGAAGAGGTAATTTTTTTTGTAATGTCATTCTGACCGTCCAGATTCTTGGTGCTAGCACAATGCATAACCAGCAAAAAATAGGGAACCTACTTCGAGGCTACTTTATAATTTGCCAGCACCTGTGTCTGAAGCCCTACTACCAAATTATGAGCGCCTTTATGAGCATTGCAAAATATGCACACCGTGATTGGTGTTTTTTGAAGAAACTGGGTGTTATCAGTTTTTTCCATTTCTCTCAGAAAACTAAATTTAGGACTGTTCAATTTTGAGGCCTCAATATCTCTGCAGCTGGGGCAGATACAACAATAATTATTTTTGAAATAGAAACCTGTACGTGCATAGAATGCAAGTATGGGAGCAGATTTTAGAGCACAAGTCTTTTTAATTAAATACTCATCGGATTGAAACATATAAAGCTGATTTTGAAAACGAAAAGTTCATTTGACTGTAAAATAATCAAGGCAAAAAAAAAAAAAAACTCCTGCATACCTTTAATGTCTAGTTATTAGTTAGTCTATGTTGCCATATTTACATATCACTTTTATTTAATCACTTTTTTTTTGCTTTAAACAATAGGGGCAGAACTTAAGTTATCTCAGGAACAAAATGAGTTACAGGAAAAGTAATTACATATTTTAAATCAGCAGAAAAAACTGCACAATCCTGTCCACTTTGATGAAGATCACTGAAAAAATAAATAAAAAAATGTCTAATATGAGTCTGCCTCCTTGAGAATGCACATCCAGGCACGCAGCCAGAGAGGTTTTTTTTTTGTGGGGTGGGTTTGAGGAAGGTGTTTGCAAGGTAATCTTTGTGCCATGGGTGGTGGCAAGAAGAACTACTAGGACTTGCTCCTTAGGAACACTAATTGATTGATATGTGGGGTTTAACGTCCCAATACCACCATGTGATTATGAGAGACGCCATAGTGGAGGGCTCCGGAAATTTTGACCACCTGAGGTTCTTTAATGTGCACCCAAATCTGAGCACACGGGCCTACAATTTTCCGCTTCCATCAGAAATGCAGCCGCCGCAGCCGGGATTCAATCCCGCGACCTACGGGTCAACAACCGAGTACCTTAGCCACTAGACCACCGCGGCGGGGCTCTTTAGGAACACTAGTAAGAGAGAGTAGGGATAGAGGAAAAGTTGGATTTCAGAGTAAAAAGGGTCTGGGCCTGTCAGGTGCCCTCCTCAGGTACATGCCTACATCACTCAATGCTTTGCCTTCATGAGAAACTTAAATTTACTGATGATAATTGATAGTAATGTGTAGTCTTGATTTCAGGTGAGTCGTTGCATTACTTGGGAAAGAAAGTGGATCCAAAGTCCTGTAATTTTGAATTAGCGGGTGCATGTGTTCCTGGCAAGTAAATAAAAGTACCAACAGAATGTTCAGGCAAACCCCGTCTGGAACTGCATTATGTGGCCTTGCATCGCTTGACACTTTATTGCTGTCCTCTCAGCAATGGTAAAATTCATATCTGAGCATCACTGTTATGTCAAGCTGTGCATACATGTTCGTGCAGTGTACTCAGGTACAGGTACAGCATTCACGGGACGCTCTGCGCTTCATTCTTACTGCGCATACACAGGGATTTCATCACTCTCTCAGTGCCATTGACATCAGGCCTTCATCTCGACTTCATCTGTAGCCAAGACAAGCTAAGTCAAATTTAGAGCGTTGTCGTAGCCACCTTACATGCGCACGTTCGTCAAGGCTCCCGATTTATTGTTTGGTTACCGTGTGGCACGCGTGTAGTGAGCAGCTGTTGATCGCACTCCACGCTTGAACTTCAGTGTGCATCAGTTACTTCGGTCAAGTGGCATGGCCAATGCGTCCACGGGTTGTTGTAGCGGAATAGCAGGGAGGCAGACTTTTTCTAGTGAGACGACGACAGAGAAAAAAACACGTCCTTTCAGTTTGAACGCATCACGAAGACTGCTTTATTCGTTCGCTATGTACCGCTGTCGTAGAGAGGGGAAGAAAAAAAGGAAAAGCAAACAGAGAAGTACAAGTATTGTCAAAGAGTTTCCTCCGCACCCCGCACGTGCGACGGTCTTCAAGGACAGATGGACAAAACGCTTTCCGCGTGTTCGAGAAGGGTCATTGTGGCCCTCACCCCCCCTTTCCCTTCACGGCTGGGCTTGTAGGTAAAACAGATGTCAAGGACGCCCTTCGCTCCTTTCGCATTGCCCGTCACGCGAACCACCCGAAAACGAGTCCCTCCGAGTTGCCCCTCCTCCCCCTCTTCGCCGCGGAGTCTTTCAATTAACGCTCCCCCGAAGCGGGGGCTGCTTCCCAGTATGCGACAAATACAACACGGGTGCCAACCCGATATGGAACTTTTTTGTAAAAGTCCCGCCTGGCCAAGAAGCTCAGTGTCTGAAGTGCCACTCCATTCTGAAGACGTCAAAGGGGACTACGATGACTCTGGCGACGCATTTAAAGAGGCACCCGGATGTCTTCGTGACATACGAAAAGGAACGTTGTGCGCGGAAAAGCGTGAAGTCTACTGCTAAGCCTGACGTGCAGCAGCCCTCAGTTGCTGACCAGTTCAAGCCGAAGCTGAAACATACGGCGCCAAAAGCACAGCAAATGACAAAGGCTATTACTGGATTCACAGTGCGCGGGATGCATTCCTACAGTGTTGTTGAGGAGCCGGGCTTTGTGGCCGTTAAGAACGCTGCTATGCCCGAGGACGTTGTGCCGTCGTGGACAACGTTTTTCCGAGCAATAATCCCGGAGCTCTATGCTTCGAAGAAGCAAAACTTGATGAACAGACTTCAGGCGGTAATTACCGGTGGAGTCGAGGCCATTTCAATAACAACGGACAGTTGGACATCGTGTGCTAATGAAAGCTACTTGTTGGTAACATGCCACATCATGGACAGCTTATTTCAACTTCATGTGCACGCACTGGCATGTACAGAAATGGCAGATGCCAGAAATGGCAGATGCTCACACAGCCGAAAACTTGGTGCTGTTTCTAAAAAGTGTGATGGAGGAGTGGGCGCTTCCCGATCCAGGTACTGTACCAGTGTACGTAGTTACACATAATGGAAGAAGTTTCACTGCAGCAATTACACAGTCGCCTTGGATAGGCATAAAATGTTTCGGGCACACGCTGCAGTTGTGCGTGAGTGATGTCAAGCGGGATGTACTTAGATTTTCCCAACTGTGCACGAAGGCTAGGGCTATCATTGGCCGCTATAAGAAAAGCTCAAAGGCTTGGGAGCGCCTTGTGGAAGTACAAAGGGAAATGCAGCTGAATGTCCTGGAAGTGGTGCAAGATATTCCGACACGTTGGAATAGCGAGCATCAGATGATGACTAGGCTGCTCAAGCTTCGCAAACCAATCACCGTGGAGCTTTCGGAGTGCGATGCGGTTGATAACCTCACTGCAGCTGAATGGAAGCTGATGACTGCCGCTGTGAAGGTACTCGATCCACTTGCTCAAGCCAGGACAGAGCTATCTGGGGACAAATATCCCACGTTGTCCCAAGTAACTTCATTGCTGGAGTGCACTGCCATTGTACTTGCTTGGCACACAGCTCAATCAGATGAGTCATCGGCAATTGCTTCAAGTCTGGCACGCAGCATTAAGGCAAGGTTTCCTGGTGTCAAGACATCTGAGGATACAGCCCTAGGAATGTTTCTAGATCCAAGGTTCAAGGATGCCTGCTATATGGAAAGGGCAGAGAAGTGGGCCTGCGCTATTCTTACCAAAGCAGCAGAGGGAACACTGCAAGTTTTTGGCTGCGAAGCATCAACTGAGAGCGATACAGGTTGAGATAGCTGCCAAGATGCTTCTGTATGGGGGGGCCTTTGCTAGTATTGCATCAGATGGTTCTAAGATAACTGGTCCTTCCATCAAAGATGATGTTCAGAACTACCTGAGAGCTCCCCTCCTCCCTCGCTGTGAGGACCCACTCGATTGGTGGAAGAGCAAAGGCAGCCACCTTCACCTGTCCCTTGTAAGGGTATCCCGCAGATACCTCTCAGTGCCAGCAACCCAGACAACAAGCGAAAGGTTATTTTTGACAGCGGGTGCCATTCTGACCTGCAGACGGGAGCACTTTCTTCACCAGCATGTGGAGCATCTAGTTTTTCACCATGATAACTTTTGACTTTCATTTTGTTAACTGCAGAAGGCAACATTTTTTACTTGCATGTAGAGCTGTGATATTTTTTTTATTGAAACATGTTATCAAACGGTCTTTTTTTTTTCTATGTGATGTAGCATTTGAACTAGTAGAAGGTGGCATCTTCTTCACTGCCTGTCGAGCTGCTAGTCCAAATGCCATAATTTTTTTACTTGAAATATATTACCAAATGGTTTTCTGTGATGTTTTATGTATGTGTGTGTGTTGTAGGTTTGTTAGCTGTGTAGAAGGGAGCATCTTCTACAATTAGTCTATATACATACAAATTTTTTACTGGCTAAGGTATGTTATTACAGGATTATCTGTGATTTCTTTGTATGTTGCAACCTCAAAAATAAAGAATTTTTGCATAAACCAACTTTGAACTGCTCAGTTTTGTTCTTCGGACACCTGACAACTATTCGAATTAGCTTCGAAAGTATTCGACCCTGAGGACTATTCGCTTCGAACCAAAATATTACTATTCGCACATGCTTATCACTTCCACATCCTGTGAGGTGTGGACACTGAGAACTGAAACATTTCGTTCATGCCTCATAACCCAGAACAATTTATCATCATACAACTGTCCAAAAAACATCCTAGAAAAGTTTTCTCCTGTATAGCCTGTATGCCGTGAAATGCATCGCAGTTGCTTAACACAATAACCATTCTTTTTCATGGTTGCAGGCCATTGAAGACAAAGTAAACAACACAAGTAAAATAAAAGCTTCCCTAGGGAGTCATGTACAGTGGCTAGCACATGTTCTTAAAAAAAAATACCAATTTCTTTGCTTTTTGTGATACCCATGAATTCAGTTGTTAGATTCATGAATACAAGTGCCAAACATGCATAATATGCAATAAATGATGACTGTTTTGTTTAGTATGGGTATAAGCAAACTGAGCATCAGGCACATATAGTAACACACTTTTATATGAAGAAGATCGAGGCACTCACTGTCTTTGGTTGAGCACGTCTGTCAGAGATTTGTAAATCTCTGTATCAGAGTAAATAATTGCTTGAAATAGATACTTCACCATCTCTCAGGACACACCATATTTGTAGAGGTCAAGTGTAACCTTAAAAAACGAAAAGAAGTCTGCGTGAGACTTTACAAAAAATATTAGATAAAATATCTCCACCCCCTGCTTCTTTCAAATGAGAACTTTTGTATTTTACACGAAATATATCACACTTTCAATCATTTTTTTCTTTAGCTTATGTCAGTCATTACTCTTTAACCTCTTAGTTCTCATGTCCATGTTTGTGTACATGCCTTCAGCAAATTACCACAGCAAAGTGCCCATCATTTCAAAAATATGTGAAGCATATGTGAAAGCTAGAATTTGTATTTATTAGCAGTGTTTTTATATATTTGAAACTATAAAAATACTTTCTTTTTCTTTTCCACTGGAGAAACCCCACGTGGAATAAAATTTTGCAAACTGCACTGCTTTTTATTGTCCACATCTTTGCTTGGTAGTGAACAGGTTAGTTTGAATGTGCAGTACATGTGGTCTATTAAATGGAAAATAACAAATATAAAATGGCAAAGTACATAAGTTTAGTCTTACAGCTTGTGGTATTATGTGCAGGAGGTCGTGGTATTTGTATACGCGCCGCCGACTGCCTATCCACACTGGATGGATTGATGGATAAGGCTGCACCCTTTAGAACGGGCGGTGGCTAGCGCCACCAAGCCGTAATACTTAATGAACCAATAACATACACTTGCGCGGAACGGTGTAGTCACCTATAGCCCGTACTCGCCGTGAATATGAATGCCAAATCCCTGTCATAGTGCCCAACTATAAAGGCTGTTTTCAGCAACAAAACAATGTAATGTACAGAGGCGATCAAAATTCTAGGAGACCTCAGGAGCACATGCCGAGCAGCACCTCAGCGTCTTCTCATAGCCCCGGAGAAGCTCGAGAGTGCACACTGCGCAAGCGCATCCTTTTCTATTATCCAGCCTACTTTCGCTTCCTTCAACTGCGTGCACACTCGAACTCCAGAAAAATCACAAGGCGTCACTTCCGTTGTCGCCTCAGAAGCACTGAGCGATAATATCGTGACAAAAGTAAGTTGCAGTGGCAGTGCTCAGTGTACGCCACTTTCGTGCCTTGGTTTCGACGCTTCGCAGCGGCGAAAACACCCACACAGCGTCAGTTTTTTTAATCGAGAAATGTGATAAGATTACCGAGCAGTGCTGTCTGGAACGCCTAGAACGAAGGCTAAGAAGCGGCCCGCACAGAGCACTGCCACTACAAGTGGCGTATTTTGGTCACGATATCATCTCTCAGTGCTTCCACAACGACTGCAAGAGTGACATCTTGCGATTTTTCTGGCGTTTTGCTGTGTGCACATTTGAAGGGAGTTAAATCGCAGGCTTGCAGGTAGAAAAGGATGCGCTTGCGCAGTGTGCGCCCCAGAGCTTCTCTGGTAGCCGTAAGAAAGGGCCGCATCGCTATTCGCCAAGGGCTCCCATGGTCCACAAAACTCTGATTGCCGCTGTAAATATGCCTTACTATACACAAGTACGCAATAATGTGCAGCCAACTAAAGAAAAGAATCTATCAAATGAGTCGTTTCAATTCGCTGTAGACATGACATGCCAGATAGAAATGTTGGAGCTCAGCAGTACTGGTATTTTTTAAGGGTTCATTTTTTAGGAGTTCATGAAGTAAATTGAAATGAGTGGCATGTAGGGACGATGATCATGCCAATGAATACTGTGAAATACCGCACAAAATTAATACCGCCCGTGGTTTTCCTAGCCTCCTTAGCCATCGCCCGCCCGAGCAACGGACCAAGCGCCCAACAGCCCTAAGCTCAACCCTAATCCTGCTATCCAGCCGCCTCCGCTAACTCTCCTACCTCAACAACTGTTAGAAGCTGCCGCCTAGACCGCAAACACACGTGTTCAATTTCGCTAGTAGACTCTCACTAGGTCCCCTTCGTGCTAGGCTCTAGCTGTTTAACAACTAACCTGGCGCCCCGAACTTTAAAACAGCCATAGAAGTGTGGCAGCTTGGGCTAGTTGGTATGGCATGACGATAGTTAAAGCGCGTGTCTTTCGTGTCCTTCTTGTCTCTGTGTCGTCGTTTTGTTCTCGCGCTATAACTATCTTCAAAACAGCCGCCTACCCCGTTCACGTGGGCAACATCACTGCAACGTTGCCTGTGTCCCACACCTACAGTACTCGCAACGCAAGTTATTGATTAGGAGAGAAGAAATTATAATGGTGTTCACAAACACAAAGAAATAAAGGTAAACATCTCTTGTTGCATGCTGCTTCTGCACCAACAAACCTGCTCGACCCTGCACCACGGTCGATTTTTTCGCCCTCTACGGCCATCGCGAGAACTTAAAAGTTTCCGGGTCTGCTGGTAGTCACCGAGTCAACACTACTATAATCTAACTGTCGTGCAAAAATAATTTCATAAAGTACATTTTTCGTTTTGAAAATATTTTTCTACAACAACTTTTGATGTACTTTTTTTGTGCTGGCTACTAGGAACAGTATTCAACACGGCGGGCCTGTTAGATTCTCGACTGTCCCCATGGTGGCGCTAGCCGCCATGCCCCTGATAGAGTGTTCTAGAAGTACCCCCGATTCATGAGCCGCCTAAGCGTGATCCACCGCCCGATCTAAAGGGCACATCCAGATACATCCATCCAAAGGACAATTGCAGACACAGAGTTTACTAAAATTTTTAGAAAACTCTATGATTTCAGGTACTCGCATTTGGTGGATTGCATCTCGTAAATAAAATGACTGCATCCGATGTCTGTGGTGAAAGTCGAAAGCGATATGCTACAGTGTGTAGCACATGAGAAGGCCAATCGGGGAACAATCGCTGATACATTTTGCTTTCCTAATATGTGTACGTTCTTCATAACGCAGTGCCCAATTTTGAGACGTGTTGAAGGTGACTCTGGTCAGAGCAAAAAAAATCATGCTGCGGGAAGATTTATTGTTTTCGAGCTCAACATTATTAACCTGACTGTTTGGTATAGGCATGCGCTTGTGTGGAGGACACCTAGGTGACACAGAGTGAGTTAGAGTACAAATCATAGTCATCTTACGATCTTTGCAAATATTGACCATAACCTTCCTGATTTTCTTTTTAGCAGACAAACGTCCTCAGGAGTGACGTCGGTAACGTCTCTGTGGCGCTGACAAGGATGGATGGATGGTTGGATTGATATGGTATGCTATGGCATGGAAAACTTTGACGATCAGTTCAGGACTGATGCTGGCTGCTCCCACGTCGGGAGAGAGAGGCAAGCTCGTCTGCCGCCACACGGGCGGCGGTGGCTAACGCTACCTAGGTGTTAAACTAATGAACCAACAACTAGATTTCTCTTGTTTTTCTCTTTAAATAGTTAAGTTGAGGACTGGTGCTTTGCAGCGAAGGATTTAATTTTCACTCGTGCCTTGATTTTAGCCACCAATCAGATAACCTCCTAGTCATTTCTACTCGCTTAAAGCCTATCTGGCCCTCGCTGTCCCTGAACTCCAGTGCTTTGAAAAACTCTGCGCCATCATCCTGAACTATAGGGTGAATGAAGCCCTTTACAGAACATTATCAAGTGTTCGGCAGTATTCTCCTCCTCTCCACACGCACTGCATACCGTGTCTACCCCTTCGTATTTGGCCCGATAGAAGTCTAGGTTCGCAATGCTCCCGTCCTGGCCTCAAACACTAGAATGACCCCGAGTATTATCATAGATCATTTCCTTGGCAATTACCTGCTTTAAAGTTCGATAGATCTCTAGTGCGGACTTTCTAATGATGCCAATTCTCAACATGTCGGCCTCCATTTCCTTCACTTTCTTCTTAACCGATAGTTCTTTTTGGTTTGACCCCCTGCTCTTTTCTAAGTATTTGATTGATTGATATGTGGGGTTTAACGTCCCAAAACCACCATATGATTACGAGAGACGCCGTTGTGGAGGGCTCCGGAAATTTCGACCACCTGGGGTTCAACGTGCACCCGAATCTGAGCACACGGGCCTACAAAATTTCCGCCTCTCCAAGTATTTACCCGTCAATATTCCGGTTCGCTTCCTCCATATTGCATCGACATTCCTCATGTACAAGTAGCTGAAAACCTTCCTAGCCCAACGCTCCTCTCCCATTTCTCTCAATCGCTTCTCAAATTTTATCTTGCTGCTAGCTTCCCTGCCCTCAAATGATGTCCATCCCATATCACCACAGAGGAAGGAGCATATCACCTTGTACTCTCTGATTTGGTCGTGGCTCCTTATAGATGGATGGATGGATGTGGCTGTACCCTTTAGATCGGGCGGCGGCTAACGCTACCTAGTCGTAATACTTAGCGAACTAACCATTAAATTTATCTTTTTTTCCCCTTTAAATAGTGAAGTTGAGGACTGGTACTTTGCAGTGAGGGTTTAATTTTCACTTGTGCCTTGACTTTAACCACCAATCAGACAACCTTATTCTAGTTGATTCTACCCGCTTGAAGTCTATTTTGCCCTCCCTGTCCCTAAACCCTAGTGCTTTGAAAAACGCGCCATCATCCTGAACTATAGGGTGAAGCCCTTTACAAAACATTATCAAGTGTTCACTAGTTTCCTCCTCCTCTCCACATGCACTGCATACCGTTACTACGCCTTCGTATTTGTCCCGATATGTCTTGGTTCGCAATACTCCCGTCGGGCCTCAAACAGTAGAGAACTACACCGACTACTATCATAGATCCTTTCCATGGCAATTTACTGCTTAAAAGTTCGATAGATCTCTAGTGCGGACTTGTTAATCATGCCAATTTTCCACATGTCAGTCTCCGTTTCCTTCACTTTCTTTTTAACCGATAGTTCTTTTTGGTTTGGCCACTTGCTGTTTTCTAAGTATTTACCAGTCGATTTTCTGGTTCGCTTTCTCCATTTTGTATCGACTTTCTTCATGTACAAGTAGCTGAAAACCTTCCTAGCCCAACGCTCCTCCCCCATTTCTCTCAATCGCTTCTCAAGTTTTATCTTGCTGCTAGCTTCCCTGCCCTCAAATGATGTCCATCCCATATCACCTTGTACTCCCTGATTTGGTGTA